CACCACCCACCTACCTCACCCACTCACCTTGTGTCTCCACAGGACACACCACCCACCTACCTCACCCACTCACCTTGTGTCTCCACAGGACCCACCACCCACCTACCTCACCCACTCACCTTGTGTCTCCACAGGACCCTCCACACCCCCGGCAGAGCTGCAGGTCAGACCGCTGAATCCTCACGCTGTGTTTGTGCGCTGGCGCCCCCCTTTGGAGCCCAATGGCATCATTGTGGAGTACAATATCCTTTACAGCGAGAACAGCAGCCAGCCAGATAACCTGTGGAGCTCACTGTCTCGAGAGGGTGAGTCTCCTTGCTTCGAACATTACCACAGCACACACCTGCCCTGCTCCCTGTGAATCCCTGTACACACCTGTGCACGCCTGATGCTTTCACTGTGCTGCGTTTCCTCCCCCACCTCTTAACCTTCTGTAATAACCTGGCTTATTTCTATAGACCTCAATTTAAAAAGCCGGGCCGTCACTTTTCTATAATACTTTGTGCTTCTAAATGGTGGCCTTTGCATTTTAGGACTTCAGGTGGTATGACATGGAAATGAATCGTTATACACAGAAAACCTTCTAGGAACAAACCCTTGAATAGGATTTAACTTTGAATAGAAAGTTTATGAACAATGTTTTCACTGTTAAATGTAGCTAATGCCTGCTTTAATGAAGTGACAGTTCAGGAACAGTGCTGACCTACAGTATGCTGTTCTGTAATGGAAGTCATTTCACCTGACTTTCTCTCCCTCTCCTCTTATTTCTTCTATTTTCCCTTTTTCTCTATCCTTTTCTCTCCTTCGCTACGTCTGTGTTTTCTCCTGCTCTTTCTCTGCCATCTCTCCTTACCTGTGTTACCATTTCTCATGCTCTTTCCTCTTTCCCTCAGGGAACACCTTCAGCACAGAGGTGGAGGGGCTGCAGAGCGCCACGCGCTACTTCTTCAAAATGGGGGCCAAGACCGTGGTGGGGGCAGGACCCTTTTCCTCAGTAAAGGATGTCCACACGCTGCCAGAGACAGCTGAGCCAGGTAGCCACCAGACGGGAGCACCTCTCCTCCGTGTGCCACCTGCAGGGCTCTTTGTGCAGTATAGAAACCACTCTGCTTTTTCCACGGATTGCAGATCGAGTCCAGCTAAATTCCCATAACCATACGGTATATACAGTAAGCGTGAAAATAATGCCTCCAAGCTTTTACTGTTGCAATCAAAATACAGCGAGCAAATATTACCGGGAGGATAAAAAAATGCTTTAAAAGCTCTCCTGTTTTTTGGTGTCATCTCAGTCTGGGTTTTGTTCTTGTACTGCTGGTGCAGAGCCCTCTGGCTCTCAGCCTTGTGCTGGACACACAGGACAGTCTGAAAAGCTGCAGGGGGCTATTCCACTCACACTTGAACCCTTGAGAAACCCATTGACATTCCCTTGAGAAGTCTTTGAAACAGTCTGTTTCTAAGTCTTAGTTTCCATTAAGGTATTTCCCCCTTTCTTAAAAAAAATGCATTTATAATTTTTCAGGAATTTCCATCATGAAGCACAACAGCATGAAGTAGATTTAGAAATCACCTCTGTGCCTAGTTGTTGGTAGGGGGATCGACAAGACAAACAGAATTTGTGTTCTCAGTGAAATGCAATGTGCCTGTCTTCTTCTTCGAATGATCAAGGTTGTTGTTTACTGTACTCTTCAAAAATTTACATTTCCTTTTTCTGAGCTTGTTTTGCTTATGCACATGCAGATACATTCACCCATGTGCCTTTTATGTTGATATTTTCAGTGAAAACAGTGAATTCATTCAGCCAAACTGCGTTTTATTGATAACTGTGAATTGAACTAGAATGCCTGTGGCGGTCCGAGATGATTCAGCATGGGGCCATGTTTGAAATGGTACACTTTAACTGAACATTAATAGACAAACAACATTATGGAAATTGTTTAAGAGGATACCACAAGTCACACTACCTCAGCCCTTTCTTGAGTTCCATAAGCAAGAAGGTGGTAGCTGGATGAATGCACAGACATAGCCATTGAAGTTTATAGCTGCACAGCTCACTATTCTGGTTAGTGGACTGGCTGTTGTGTTGCACAATATTCTCGTGTGGAATCCACACTGCAGAGTGCATCACAAACGTCAGGTTCCATCTGCAAGTTACAGCAGGATTCTGTTTCACACTGTTGAAATTCTACATACCCAGAAATTCGTATTACAAGTGTATTTGGCTGAAACTTTCATATAAAGTGACTTATACGTGCACCTATTTATACAACTGGGCATTTTACTGGAGAAATCTGAGTGAAATTCACTTCTCTAGGGTACAATAGTAGGGTCCCACCTGGGGTTTGAACCCACAACCTTCCAGCTCCGAATCCGAGCTCCGAGTATCCACCAGTCCACACTGCTCCCTTGACAGTCTGTTAAGGTCTGTTTTTAACAATCTTGTAATTATTTCTGTGCTCCAGAAGTGTTTGCATTTGGTCTAAGAATACCCAGAGCTCTCATCAGAGGTGTATTTATGCTGCTTCATTTTAATGGATGAATCCCAGCATTAAGAAAGGAGGCAATCTTCAATCTCCAGTGGCCTGAGACTGCTGATGTGAAGTAATTCCTGATCGTTTTTAAATGTTTAAGATTTTGAGCAGAGATTTGAAGTTATATGAAAGATATTTGCAATCCAAAACCTTTTCAGTTTTCTTCCCTGTGTTGACCTTGGTCTTTACGATGGCTTTGACTGCTGTGCCTGGACATCTGGGACAACGGCTGTAGTGTAACAATCTGCAGGTGTGCGGCAGCTCAGTGCAGTGTGGGTAATTGGTCCTTCTGGCCAGTAGGAGTTAAAAAGGAAACAAATCAACCAGCCGGGAAAGAATCGGTTTGTGTCTTTAAGGGAAAGCAAAGCGTGCCTTTTCTTTCATCTCTGTCTTAATGACAGGAGAGGTGAACTCCGGCAGGATGAGCAAGCCCAGCGTACTTGGTGTGAAACAAGACAAACGCATCATTAACGCTGAGCTGTTTTGGGAAAAGATGGCAGCTTAATGATCCTTGGTGGAAAGCTATATCCATGACAATTAGCAAGCAGCTCTTCTGAGCAATGTTTCGGCATAGATAATGAGCAGCTGCAGGATGCTGGGCTGTGGCTCATTCTCCCCATGGTGTGTCCCAGGTAGAGGCTGTTACGAGCGGACCATCTGGCCCGTCAGGCTGCATTCTCGCTGCTAGGAGGACAGTGCTGTGGCTCATCGATATCCAGTTAATTGTCTCTCTCCCTGTGTGAGGTTCTCTCAGAAGACCTCATTAGAGAGCAGCACTTCTAGGCTGAGTGAGTTAGGAGTAGATTTTAGTGTCTTTATCGCCTTTCACACTCAAGCAGAATGTTTGTTTTACTCAGCTCACCAGGGTCTTATTCCAGTATCTCACTGTGAACCATACCCTCACCTTAGTCTGTCCTGCCTCTAACGTAGCAGTGAATGTCTGTGTCCAGGTAGCTCACCCCTCCATTTTGAATGCTGCATTCATTTTTGTATGTCCTTTTAGGCTCACGGGCTGACATCAAAAGCTCACCAAAATGATCTGCAATATTATTTTCAGCGCAGACAGGATGAAAACAGTCAAAATATGTACTTCTTTCTCCAGTCGCGTTGCCTTGCGGTAGTAATTTGTGTGGCCTGTAGCATCAGCAGTGTTTTTTTTTTCCCTGGGGGTGAGGTGTTCTGTTTCTGTGTTGTTACCTGTAGGTCTCCTGGACATCCACTCTGTGACAGGGATCATCGTGGGGGTGTGTCTCGGTCTGCTCTGTATCCTGCTCTGCATGTGCGTCAGCTTCCGGAGCAGCAAGGGCAGGTGAGTGATCCGGACACAGGCTTTGCCTCTAGGAATCAGGAGCTCAAGAGTTCAACACCACTGCTGAAAGTGGATCAAATTAGCCATTTCTGAATGGACCTTATTGTGTATCTACCTGCACAACTGAACCAGTGTATCCTGTATGACCACATTTAAAATGAATGACACTGTGACAGACAATATGGAGATGACAAATCTATCACATAGATCTGGGTTATACTGTTGCTACATGGAAGGATGCTCCTGGATGTTAACCTTGGTAACATTTTAAAATAGTACCTGCTAATTACTGATGAATTCTGACTGAATAGCATTGGAATTCACCTGAATATCTCTGAATAAATCTTTCTTTCGTTCAATGACATTTCATTCAAGACATTCAATGACTTAAAGAACCATATTCCTAGTAACCTGTGACAGAATTTATTATTTGTAATTTTGAGCAAGATACTCTATGGAAATATCACAGACACTCGTAAAAAGCCGGTGGTGCTTCTAAACCAGGTACCACAAAAGGGCTGGATAGATGCATTTTAGTCATATAATTTGACATTCATTAAGGAATGAGGTCAGTGTGTTTATTTTAATGATATGCATGAATCTTATATGCATACATTTTCCTTGTGGGGAAAATTCTTGGCTTCACGTTGAACCTCAATGTACTGGAGGAAACTCTGAAATGAAATAAATGGCTAAAAAGTACATCAGTGTGTTCCAGTTCTAGAATGGAGTGGGGAGAGTGCTTGAAATGCTAGTAGCTGGAGAAGTGCACTGACAGGAAGACCAGTCAGACGCAGAACACTTTGTGATTTAAGAACTGCAGGAATGGATAGTGTGCTTTCTCTATTAAAAAGCTATATAGTTAATGAGCAATGAAATTCTGGGATTCTGGGAAGAAATATTTGCATGGATGTGTTCTGCAGTATGTACTAAAAATGAGTACATTTGATTGAAACTGACGCTTGTGCATAACTGTAGGGATGATGGGTTTCTGTAGATAGTTCGGCGGCACATGTAGAAGATAAAGCCTTATCACCATTCGGCACGCTTGATTAAAAATTATGGAGGAGGAGGTTTTCAGTTCTGTGCTGCAATGCGAGTTTAGCTGATGTCCCAGTGCGGGCAATACTGTATCACAGAGAAATGAGGAATGAGAAATTGTGCTGCACTAAGGCTGATTGGAGCTTTGTCTCGAAGACTGGTTATAGCTTCCATTGAAAGCCTAGCTGTTTAATTTATTATATGATCAGTTATTTATAATATGATCATTATTTATTATATGAGATGCTGGAAACGGTAAATGCACCAAATAATTTTTTCTATAACTTATACTTAAAATTAGAGAGCGAACAGTTACACCATATGTCGTAAAGATATTTCCACTTGTGCGCAGTTGTTACAATGTCACTGATGTTACAGTTAGTTGCATCAGACAAGCTTGCCTGGCAGATGCCAGCACCTAAGGTTAATTGGTTTGTTTTATAATCCTGGTTTAGTGTCTAATCCTGGTTTTTGTGTTACGTTATAAAACAACATGACAAGGTATGGTGTGGATGAAAGCTAGACCTTTAAAAATGTGTACGGTAGTATGTAGATATGTGAACTCAGTATCCTAAAAAGCAAGTATAACAGTTATATCGAGTTTGCCTGCAAAAGATTTGCAATATAATATTATGGATGTAAAGGTAGCTCTCACAGTATTATAAGATAAGCGGTTGCCTTGGAAATACAGGTATGGATTCCTGCTATTTTAAATTAGAATTGTCCAATCTTCCTTAGTACATTCTCACCCATGGTACAAGACATCAGCGTGACTGTCTGCATCAGGCCCTCTGTGTTACACAAGACCAAGTCACTACATGTGGATGTATTTATTTCTGTTTTTTTTCCTGCTCAGTGTTGTGCCTTTAGTATGTTAAAGCAGTTTGGTATGTCATTGGCAGGACCCTCGAAGTGTATTATCTCTTGCTGTAGTTCACTCAGCCTGTAACTGAACTTTGCCTGTGTTTCCTGTCCCTCACAGGGACACGCCTGGGGGGCTGGACTCGCGAGGTTCCTCGGCTCTGTCCTCGCAGTACCGGAAGGGCCGGTCAGCCCCTGTCGCTGTGCCAGACTGCCATGAGCTGGAGACACTTATGTCGCCACGGCCAGAGGACACCACACTGCCCCTGACCGAGGCCACGGAGGTCACTGAGGAGCAGAGCCTCATGGGATCCAGGCCAGCAGAGGAGAGCCTGAACCTGAGCCTGGAGCCCAAGGTGCATCATGCTCATGTCTCTTGAACCTAGGACCACCTGTGGCCCTCACTTTCACCACGCACCTGCTGTGGAAACCCTGCAGCCCGGGATCGTGCTTCACTGCTGTTTTAATTGGCTCTGACTTTGCCCTTCAGATATATAGATAATAGATAACAGATAACTCCAAAAATGTATCCTATGATTACAAAACTCACATTACTGCAGTACAAGGTTTTTCACGTTTCCTGCTCCAGATTTGCAAAAATGTCTTTAAATGAAAAATGTTCATTTTATTTCTCCTTTTCGAATACCTGGGCACGGGCTGGGTCTGGTTGGCATTAGGATGGGAGACCTCCAAGAAATTCCTGGTTTCTGCTGTGAATGGTGTTTTTTGACCAGTAGGCAGAGCATTTCCATGTGCTCCATAATTTCCATACTAATGCCTTAGTATGGAGTCAGGAGACACTGTGCAAAAGGAGCTTCTGTCCTTCAGGTGATTAAAGACCCCATAGCAGTCTTGAAAGAACAGGCATGTTAATCCCAGTGTTCTGGCTACAATCCACTCTGTGCTTGAACAGTCTGGCCCTCCCTGTGCCAGTCCATAAATGGCTGCCAATATCTTCTGCTATGTGTAAAGTACTCCATAAATGATGATTATTCTCTCTCTTGCTAATTATGGTTCATGCTATTTCAGTTCATTTTAGAAACATTGAGAAAGCTTTTAATTGATAAAAAGCTAAATAATTTGAAAGGGTCCCTCTCAGGATTATACAGGTCTATAACAATCTCTGAAGAGGGATCTGTACTTTATTTTTAACAAATAAATCATTTTCCCTTTGTCATTTCTGTGTGTTTAATGAAATGCAGAAACTGCAATAAGTAAAGGTCCTCTACAGCTTTAGGATCTTAGGACATATGAGACATACTGTATGAAATCTAGGTATAAGAGGCTGTTCACCAGATCAGAATGCACCGGAGTGTTTCTCTTTCCAAATTTTAACCTTGTAAGTCCATAGACAAACAAACAGAGCACGTGCTTAATGAGGGAAAAACAAACTGGAGAATTCCGCTTGCAGGAGACTGTAATCTGATACTGTTTGAAGGTAATGTCTGTTTAATAAGATTCATTGCTGCCATATGTACAGCATTGTGGAAATCCTCAGTGCAGCACGTGCCCAACGCTCATTAACTAGTCTAGTTCTAATTAACACCTTGCACAGTAAAGGAAATGAATTCATACGTGCATACATTAATCACTGAATATATTAAAAATTCTTCTCTGCTATCATCCTTTTGCAATTCCAAAAACAGCTTTAAAGAGGCAATGTCCAATTTCATATGGAAATAAATACCACTCCTGTGTGCTAATGTTAGAGATTTGGTTAATTGGCATAAAATATTTTGTGTATTGGCTCCTAGACCCCTGATATTCCCTCCTTTTCCTATAAGGGTCTGTAGTGTTGCAGTGTTTTCTGATTTTCATTCCACCTTGGACTCTTAATGACTTTGTGTGAATCAGTTTCTAGGTCTTTACTCACTGTATAGCCTACTGGACTGCAGTGGACAACACTGTCCTAGAGAATGTATGATTATAACCCCTGCTTGTTGCTGCAATGAGAGTCTTTCTGACTCTGTTTCTCTCTCCCCAGTCTGCCTGGAATGGCTCCGTGAGCCGCAACTGGACCAATAACATCACCAGTTACCGGGACACCATCACGGAGGGCTCTCCGGTGCTTGGTAACGGGTCGATGGGCATGGTAACGAAAACCCATACAGAGAAGCCCCTGGAACCCCCTACTCCAGATTCCAGCAAGGTGAGGTGGGAGTGATCATTACTGTGTTGAGCACTGAGCTCAGGGAATGTCCCCTCACTCTGCTACGGGTTTATCGCAGTCACAGCATCTGACTGCCTGTGCAGAGAAACTGACCTGTAGCACTGTGCATGGGTTCAGCTGCTTCCCTCTCTGCCTGTGCTCTTCAGTATTATCTGGCGGGGGGTTCCCTGGTCTGGCCTGTTCTGTCTCATACATGAGGTCTCCACTCTTTCCTTTATTAACCGATGCCCCGAGAAGCCAGTGGTATTCCTCCACTGTAAATGAGAATTCATTCGGCCAGTCTGGAGACAGTAGTCAGGGCAGATAGATGAGAAGGTCTCAGGATGCACAGGCGTAAAGTCTGAGTGGCTCTGCCTGCCGTATGAGAGAGCAGAAAAGCTTGGGGAGTAGCAGAAAAAGATGAATTGTAACCAAAAAAAAACAAGTTCTTTAGCGATGAGTTGAATCCTGTTTGATGCAGGTGTCACAGGCTGGAATGGCTTGATTTTGATGATCTGTGGCCCAGCTAGTCACCCCATGTTGTCGTGTTGGCTGTGTAGATCCTTTGTAGGAAGAACAGCCGACCCCCACTATGCAGTGTGTAGAAATCAATGGCATGCAGGATGTAATTATGCTGGAGTAGCGCACTAGGACAGCAGTGTTTTTCAAAAGCTAATTAGAATGTGACATTTGTAAAGCAGATTAGCCACCCCCTCAGTTTCTGCGATGCACGAGAGGTGTTAAAGAGAGTGGGGTTTTGAATGAACTGCTGATAGCGGCATCACACAGAAAGAAAATTACACTTCTTTTCAGAGATGCAAATTGACTGCATGCCAAATGCAAAAAAAAATAAAAATCAGCGCAATTTTTTTGCATTGTGTAGTGGCAAACTGTTTTACTTGCTAATTTATTCAAGCAATGGTAAAAGCATTAATTTGTTTTTTGATTATTTTAAACCAAGCACTCTATACTGATTTTAGATGACTGATAATGGAGTGGGTAAGTATGTACATGAAAGAGCATTGCACTTGTCTTTAAGACACGTCTCTTTCTTACCGTTTTCTCATGATGCCGTTTTCTAGGGGGGGAGGGAAAGGGGTGCTGCAGAAATGAAGATGAGGAGATGCATAAATGATGGGGTGTCACTGTGTAATCTTTGACTGTATGCAGGCGAGGAAGAGTCTGCCCTGGGACTAGCTGTTCCACCTGTCCCCACCCGCAGTGACCCGCGGGTGCCAGAGGGTTTTTTCAGGCACGGTAGAGAGGAGGCAGCAGGAAGTGGGCTCCTGCTCGCCAGTCCTGAAGGCTAATAACCGGCTCCTGCTACCACTTCCCTTGCCTAGAGGCCCGGGGATTAATGCCATGTCTGCCAGTGCAGGGCCCTGTGCAGTTTTTGTGTCAGTAATTAAGAAGGGCACACCACACCACAGCACGGCGGTCACACACCTCTGTTTTACTGTGTTCACAGTCCCGACCTCATCCAATAAATAAAAAATAAATTTATTTTGTTAAGGAGATGGTACAATATGAAAGGCAGGTTTTCCTTGAACAGTTAGACATACAGTAGGACGCACAATACAGGCTGATTTCTTCCCATCGTGATTTGTCTTTGATCATTCTTCATGTCCATGCGGTGCATTTTAAGGTCATTCCCAGTGTCTTTTCTGGGAGGACGCATGTCGCAGCCCCACTGGATTGTAAGTTCAGAGCGCCCTGCATTCCTGTTACTCAGAGAGAGCCCTCGCCCCTACCCCTCTGTGAAGCAGTTTTAACAGCTCCTTTATCTGTCGGGATCATCACTCCCCAGAGAGTCGTAGAGTGATGTAGTGGGAAAATTAAAACTAACCCGCCATCACTGAAGGCCGTGTGAGGTCAGAAGCACCCCTCTGGACCTGCCAAGAGAGATTTTTCACTGGCACCATAAACTGCTTTATAGTGAAGGAAGAATGGAAGGAATTAAGTTCTACTGAAATAATCTGCAGAGGTGAATTATTTTTCCATACACCTTTTAGATATTTATCAGGGTGGTTTTATAGTCATAAATCTCCCTTTTGTTGAAAAAACAATTGTTGCTGAAAATGTTTCATCCAGTAAGATCCATGGTTTTTTTTTCAGAGCTTGTTTGGAAGATATTTTTTTTTGCATGGCAAATTCCAGTGATAGGAAATATTAACCGTTTAAAATGCCTGCTCCCAAGCACAGCAAAAGCCATGTTTTCAGAGTCTCTCATGACTTTGCTAAATGCAGCATGCATTCAATATTGTAGGCTCTTCAATGAGACACCCTAAAGCCAAATGGAGTGGATCTTGCTTATGTAGTATGACTGGGACTTGGTGATCTCTGAGAACTGCCTGCCAGACTTACATGTGTGTGTCTTTATTGCAGAGTGAAGTGAAAAACAAGGTGTTCCCAGCTATGGCCTCCAACCAGGTGGAGGCAGAGGTGATAGTGCACTCGGAGCTCTCTGAGCCAGAGGGCGAATGGGGGGATGAGAGTGAGGGGTCCTGCCATCTCTCACACAGTGATGGCACCCCCCCCGCTACCGAGCAGCTCCCACGGGCCCCTGCGGCAGCAGAACCTGACTCTCAGGACTCCCAAGAGCCCACACCCAAAGTGCTGACCAATCACAAGGAGGCAAACGGTGACATCTCCGGGGAGGGGGTGGGATACCCAGCCCCTCTGAACAGTGACAGATGGGAACGTGGCAAACTGGAGCCGAGTCAGGGCAACGGGCTCACCAATGGTTTTCACAGCCCTGAGAACCATGTCCCCGCGGAGAACAGAGACTCTTTACAGCCCAGCAGCAGACGTTTCACACCGGGCAAGGGACTTCTCCTGCACCCCCAGGAGGCCCCATCACAGCACGCAGCTTCTGGCTTAATTAACTCTACCTCAACAGCCCACAGCTACTTACACCCGTAACCGCTGGCAGGAATACTTCAAGGCATTCTGATGTTGGAGGGGAAAGAGGCAAAAGAACCAGAAAACTGTTTTTGTACAGACGTCTCTCCTGGCTCCCATCCTGCTGTGCTTTAGCTTTCTGCATCCTCTTTCAGGGCGAAGAAGAATTATTTTCTTTAGCTGTATAAGGCTTTCTACTTCACGGTGATTATGCTGCCAGAAATCAGCGCTAAAATGATCTGATAGATTGGCATATTTTAATTGTGATCATAAAGAAAGATCCACGCATACAGGAAAACCTGTGTGCAGCTGGCCAAATCAGGTGGTGCTTCGGTTATTTTTCAAGAAAATATTTGAAAGAGCATCACAGTTGATCAGAACATTGACTACAGGACATACCTCCTCTCACTTGATAGGTTGTTTTCTCACTATATAGGCCACTGTAACTAAACCAAGGGGAGAAGAAAAACAGAGGATTCTTGGAATGCAACAGGAATGGTTTTTTTAATAAGACACAGGCTGCTAAAAGGAGGTGATAAGAAAAACAAGACTGAAAATGTCCCAATGTTGCTTTGTAAATTTGTGTGATCATTTTCCCCTCTACACAGGGATTACATGCTATTGCATATCAATATGAACTTTCTTGTTTCAGGAGTATATTTTACTATATTGGAATACTGTCTTCTGCGCTATATGGAATTACGTACCCTACACATAAGACTGAATGAAGGCGTTTTACTGCCGGGACCTCTCATTGTGCAGAGAAGAAGACAAATACAAGAACTGCAGTCGTTGGATTCCTTACCTAGAAGGTCTCGTTTATCTTGTATTGAGAAAACCCTGATGTCACGACAGGCTCCTGTCATTGCCTCCCCTCCTCTCCCGTGACTAGAGTGTCCCCCACTGTCCCTCTGGACACTGGAACAGACTCCGACACTAGATGCCGGAGTGACAGCCCTGCATTTACACACTCTGCGAGTGCCTCTAACCCCTTTCCCTGTCGCTGGATCTCCTCCAATCTCTGGCTCAGACACAACGCCTCGGTTAAGGTGCCTAATATTTTAGGTACATTTGGCCTACATTCAATAAAACAAAATGCGAAACAAACATCACAACAAAGACACTGCATTGTAACCTGGGATTACTTCATATTTAATTTTCTAAGGTTATGTGTGTTTTGAGCATTTTATAACATTCTATGTGTGCTCCCAGTCAACGGAACTACCTCATGTCTGTACAGGATCTTTTTGTTCCTTTTCTCCTCGTTGTTGGGAAGTCTTTTATACCTGGTTTTGTACAGTTCGATGCTGGCTGTTTCACACCCTTTTTTCCTGTTTTCTTTCTGCTCATCTGAATGACTGTCACCCCTGCGTTGGTAACAGCAGGCCAGGGGGGTGTTTTCCCTCCTCCCCCCCCACCGCCGCCACATTCGCTGGTGCTTTTGGGTTTCATACCTCAGTACGTCTCACCCTCATTCGTTAACAGGGGAGCAGTCTTCCCCACAGCGTGGAAAATGGGGAAATTCTCTCGGATGCAAAAATAAGACGATGGAAAATACGGCGGAGTCAAATCATGTGCCTGCGAAGTTTCACTGGAGTTTTTAGGGGCAGGAAAAAAAAAACCCAGAAACAAATTAGACGCTCTTTCCTCACCTTTGATGCAGAGCGAGCCACCCGTCAGCTGTACCTGTTCACAGCGGCAGAGGGGGTGCTGTAGTCGTGAACCAAGTGCGTCTCTATGCCAAGAATCCGGCCTTCACCGATCGGACCGCCGAAGCGTCTGTTCCATTGCCTTTCTCTTCCTAGCGCTTTCCGTTCTTCCTGACAGCTCATGCAGACCAATAACATACTGTATGCCTAATCTGGTTTTCACGCACAGAGATTTCCACTTCGTTTACTTCCTTCGGATGCTGGTGTACGTGCCGGTCTCTGGGGAGGTCAGGTAGTTCATCTGCAGCTTTGGTCCGCAACCCTCCAGTCTGTCCTACACATCTGCTCCTAGCTGACATGACGCCCGTGTAATTGTGGGTTTTATTATGCTACCTGCAGAGCGGATTTCGTTTCTGTAAATATATCTGTGGTAATGCTGTTCTGACAAGACACAACTCTTTGTAAAGCTGCTGAGGAGAATTTAAGACCTTCCTCTTTTAACTTTTTTTTATCTCTGTAGTATTTTAAAATAATTTAAGAAGTATCTTTTAAAAAAACTGTATAATAAATTTGTGATACATTAGCCTCGTCATCTAACGTGAATGTCAGAAGTCTGTAGCTGGACAGTGTTGAAAGAGCTACTCATCAGTATCTTATCTGCACATACTCAATCTTCAGGATGATTTCCATGTCCAAGTATTCTGCCTTCATTTAATGCGCATGTGCCAGATTAGCCCTGATGAAGGGACTGTCAATGTCCGATTACACAGTGTGAATGGATTGTGTGTTTCTCCTTGAGCGATTGACAGCCCGAGAGTCAGGGGGAGAATCAGGGTCTCTTCACTGATGTCAGGGCTGCTCAACCAGAGACTGCTGGGGAACCAAAAGACTGTGCACTTCATAGTGTCACCTCAAGGAAACAGCTCAGAGGGTTTAATATGATGTTAATAAACATGAACTTTAAACTTGAGCTCTCTAATGCAACATCTTCTTTCTTTTCTGTGTGTGCTAGTTTAGCACTTTTTCAAGGGCATAAATATCATTGCTTTAAGGATCCAACTGTTTTTTTTTTGTAGAGCTGAACAGTCAGGTAAATAAACCACAGTAAGTAGGAACACAACTTTCCCTGGAGACTGAGCAAAATCCTGACCTCTTTCCCCGATGGAGGAGTGACACTTTCTAGGCCCTGTTGAGAGAAGGAAATCCGAGGCTGTCTGGCTGAAGGCAGCCATGGGAGGCTGCGATGGCATTATTTTCCAGGAGGGCACAGAACTGAAACGAGCACACAGTGATCCCTGTCTCTGAAGAGACCCTGGTTCTAAGATCGAAAGATAGTGTTTCAAAAACTGCCTGGGGCTTAAGGAATGTGAGCTTTTAATGTCAGGAGTTTAATTTTTTTCCTCAATACAGTGAACATGCTATTTGCCATCTGGCTGTGTTTCCAGTCAGGTGTAGCTGTATGCCTTTTCAATGGTGCAAAGCAAAAGTGTCTGTCACTTTTCTTCAGATATGCACATAACTTTTGACTACTGCAGACTTCTGTTTTTCCTCTAAGGTTCTCAGTAGAATACCTCATTTTCTCGGTTACTGTTAATTTAGCAATTATATTTTCATGATACTGTTTTTTTAGCACTACATATTAATGTAACACCTCAGAAAGAAAGGAAATGTGAGGAAACATTGAACTGGAAAAGTAAGACAAAAGCTTTGACAACTCATGTCTGTTGCCTCAGTGAGAAATCTAACCAGCTTAAAAGTGACCATTCCTGTATCACCTCTCTCTGAAAAGTCAACTGGCGTTACGGGGTTGAGAGGATGGACCAGTAAGTCTAAGTAATAAACGGTGATCTTGTGATGGGGTGGTGGCCTGTTGCCTGTGTGTGCCAATCTGCAGAGCGACGCCAGGATTCGATGGCTTTCACAGGCAGCTCCAGAGCCACACACAGCAGCGAACTGGCTCTTCCTCTGCAGGAGAATTTCGAGGGCCCTTTCAAGAGCAGCGAGTGGCGTTACGGAGCACTTTGAAAAGGACTGGCGGTCCCTCTTTGAACCATCTCGAAGAGAACTGGTTTGCAGCCCTCAGCTGCATACTCACTGAAACTCTTACTCAGGTGTCTTTTAATTGGTGCAAACTGTAAGGGGGACATGCAAGGGCAAGTGTGAGGTTTTATACAGTGGTTCCTGTTTAGAATGCCTTGTGAGAAGTGCTTTCAATTGCAGTGCTTGTCATGCAACAGCCCGGCTCCCAGCCCCTTCCCCTGTTGCGTCAACCGCCCCGTTGGTTAATTTTTTTTTTGCTTAAGTTCTAATTACATTTTTCCAGCTTAGGAACTGCTTTGACACCTGCAGTGCGTGGAAAATGTGATGGTCTAGTTTTCCATGTAATCCACCTCACTGGTGTCCACAGGTCCAGGAGGAGACGTCGTCCCCTCAGCACATTGGCTAAGTTATTCCAAGTGCAAGGTCATTAATTAGTCCCCTGTCTGGTTAGAGAAGCCCTGTGGTTTCTGTTGCTGTTTGTGACTTCCATTGCAAGTAGCCTTCCCTCCTGTCTGTCAGTTCACCATGGAGCACCACCTTGGGCTGCTTCCTTTATCCCAGTAACTCATGCATTCCTGCAAACATTCAGTATGGTTTTTATTACTGAAAAATGTTGCACATTTGTACGTGTCAAAATACATATTATGTACATCACTAAGAAAAATACAAAAAGGAGTAAGTGACCATTTATTATGCCATAAGTGTCAGTTAATTGCTCAGATCAGTCCTTTTATAAGTCACTGATTTGTAATCTCTCTTCTGTCACTTAATGCAGTTGTTTTGGAGAAAGTATTCATTTTTCTTTGATACTCGTGCCCTGTACCTACTGTATCTGGAAGGCAATCCAGGTTTTAGACGAGAGAGAAAAATGTCAGGTGACCCGCTTAGGGGGTTGGTTCAGTTATGAACCTTAATCCTGCCCTCTGGGGTTCGATGAGCTGTCGAGCTGTGAAACACGTTCGCACTGCTGGTGCAGTTGGCAGAAACTGGTGTAATGTAAATAAAACATTTTAATAAAGAGAGTGAAGGTGACATGAAACCTGTGGCTTTGGGTCATTCCTCCTGTTTCACCAGGCTGCCTTCTAGGGGCTTCAACAGAACTGTTCAAACGAGAGGGGATTATTCATCCCATGTAGCCCGTTTGGTAGTCAGTATCTAATTGATCCGAGGATCTCATCCGGACGTTTCTTGAAAGAAACCAGGGTATGGGATTAATCAACATGGCAGGCTAGCTTGTTCCAGACCACCACAACTTCTTACACAAATAAGTGACTCATGTTCTAGGTTTTAAATGCACTTCCACATGGCTTTCCCTCATGTCCTCTGGTTCACGTTTTATGGATTATTTGCAGGAAATGCGCTGGGTTGAACTTGTGAAAGGTTCGAGGGCCCCTTGTTCGGTATGTGGAGTTCATCCATTGCTGACAGTATGGGAGCAACGCAGTCATGTCTTACCCAGGCCAGCAGTAGATGGGTATCCACATACACCGTTTGAAAAAAACAGAAATGTCCCCGAAGGTTATTTTGGGAGGTTGTGCCTGTGGTGTAAATAACTCCCCCACGAATGATGCACAAGGTCAAGCAGCTGGGCACTGATATGTTTGTCCACTTCAGTCTTTGGATTGTAAGCTGTTCTGTGTCGAGGCTGTCAATGAAATCTGACAGAGCTCTGTTGTTTTTTTTATTTTTAAAGTGTTTTAGTTTTGTCGTTCTTGTCACTTGTGAGTTGTGAGCGTGGATGTCAAAATGCTTCTCTTATCTTTCTTCAAAGTTCAGGAGCCTCGCGCTTTGCTAAGTGCTGAGACTTTGTCTGTGCTGACAGCCAGAGGGACAGGCGACCTGGGGCTGCAGACAAGGAGAGAGAAATCTGGTCTGGACGCCAGGCCTGCCTGCCAGTAATTAGTGAAGGGAAGGACTTTTCTCCAGGCTGTGTTCAAGTCCAAATTGTATTTGTGATGGTTCAAGAGTTTTTTTTAAAGAAAGACATTTATATTTATTCTGTATATTTTTGTACAAACCCCAGTGACATATTGCCCCGTATTATTCAACACAAAGTTAAACCAACCTTCACCGACACATGCTTTTGCTATTAACCTTTTAACTGTAGGCAGACCTGGTCAATTGGCTGGCTCATACAATAATTGTAAAATCATTCAATTCCCAAGGGATTTACGTTAAATGAATAGCATATTCTCTGCCTGTTTACCTTCAAACATATTAGAATTTAAAAACAAGGTGTCACTATCTTACCTGACAGAGTGTTACTTAATTTGTTATTTGGGGAATGTGGTGCTTTCATTTAATTATGACAATTCCTAAATTCCCCCATGTAACAAACTTCTGTGTCGTGAATCAGTAATACAGCCTCAGTGATGGAGATGCAGCATGCCCATGTCAAGACAGAAGTGTCGGCTCTGTCTTCTGCACCCATCAA